TATTAGTATTATTATTTTTAAACTGCCCAGGGTAAACCTTAAGCAAACCAGCTTGTAGTTTAGAAATCTCTCTGGCTTCTTGTTCTCCTCTCCCATTCCTTGCTGTTATTCACAGATTACAGAAAGCAATTAAGCAGCCTTATCTGCAGAGCCTCTCAGTATCCTAGGACGTGACTTGTGATATTGAATGACTTGAACTTGGTTAGACTAACTAGAAGCTTTCTTCTTTTCTCAGCCATCTTGGATTTAAGTTTCTTTCTAGTAATCGTATTTGATCTTCAGATAGAATAAAACATTCTTAGCTGAGAATGGAAATCAAATAGGAGCAAAGCTGCTTCTCTTTGTCATTTGCTAATATGACATGAAGCACCCCATGGAGTGGGGGTGGAGGGAGACCTCACTTTTTCCTCTGCTGCTTTTGACTGTAACCTCTAAAATGCCATTTATTCACCGTCTGGCCCTTTGTAAAGCCACAGTTCATACTGAGGCTTTAAGCCATGTTCACAGTATTCTTACAGCTCCATTTCACTCTGTATAATACTTGTTTTATGTGCCCCTTTTTTCCCCTACCATCTGTTGTAACTGGTTTTTTAGACATCTGAGTTCCAGAAAGCGCTGTGCAGCCACATCAGATTTTTTTTTAAGATACTTTCCCCTTGTTTTCCCCTCATCAGTGAATTTTGCAGTTATGTAGTCAGTATGATAACGCTTCTGAGAGCCTCCACTCCATTTTGTTTCTGATCTTGGAATCGATTCTAGTTTTCATTTGAAAAACTTGAAATCTGCCTATCCAATATGGGCAACATTCCTTTCTTTCTCTCTTGATTCCCAAATAACATGGCTGCTTTATCTAAAGGTTCTTCCTGCTTTCCTACTTGCATGCTTCAGATGCGTTGATTTAAGCTGAGTGATGCTTTCATAGATGCCCCCTGGTCAGTAATAATAGTGTTGTTTTTGTTTTGTTTTTGAGTACTACCACATGACAGGGAGTCCTGGGGTGGCACTATAGAATGAGCACTGGAATGCTAACAGCAAGATTTGTTCAGACCTACCAATGGCTCTTCAGAAACACCATATACAGGGTTACTATGAGTCGGAACCAACTCCATGACACTTAACAACTAAATGACAGACACTGTACTAAGTCCTTCTCACAGAGATGGGCTCACTGAAATCCTGTCAGAGGGTTTGAGGCATAAGTGCTGTTGCTGTCCCAGTAGTCACAGAGGGGCTTCAAAAAGTTTGTGGAAAAATTCCATTATGCTTGAATTCCATTTTTCCATGAACGTTTTGAAGCCACTGCGTACAGATTATGAAATAGGCTTGAGGATGTTCAGTCATACACCTAAGATTGTACACCTTGTGAGTGGTAGCCAGTTATTCCCTAACTTGGATGCTTAATCACTATGCTGTGCTGCTTGACATGGTGTTTAATGACTATACTGGACAAGATTCTATTACTTCAAAACCTGTGTAGCTTTGAGACGACTGGCTGTGCACAGTAGGCATTTAAATATTTAATTTGAGGCTTACATTTCTTGTTGATTTCTAGGAATTGCTTTTATCTTCTAAAAGTCAGTTAAGAAAAAAAATGGGTAAGGCACACTAGGCCTTCATAGAATAATTCAATTCATATAAGAAGTGAATGAAAAACAAAAATATGAAAAGATGCTCATTTTTATTCTTCAAATATATTCAGTTTCAAAAGACATGTTTTCTAAATGACAAGAACTGTTTGATGTTTATAAATGTGATACATGGAAAATCAAGAATGCAAAAATGTTTATGAAATTCTGGAGGTAATCAGCATTAACACAAGCCAAAGCATGCATCAAATATTATTAGGATAACATCAGAGAACTATTACTTTTGTTGTTACTTTTAGCTCATGTCTTCTATTAACCCATACACAATTACATCACTTCTGGTTGGTTGAAGCAGTAGGTCAGACAACACTTACTACAGTAGTGTCTATGTAAGTGGATGGCCAAAAAATAATGTAGCACCACAGTCATTGAAGGGGGACTCATTTTGCCATGCTCCTCACTTTTTTGTATTGTAAGACAGTCAGCCTAGCCTGCTCTTCTTATTCTTTCTAGGAGTAGTGTACGACGTTTGTCTCTTAGCACCACCTCAAAATCTGAACAAAAGATCAAGAGTTGACTTTTAAAAACACATGCTGTGAACATCATTCCATGTTAGTAAATATTCAGTGATCTGATCCTTACTGATTATATAGTATGCCATTGTTTCTCATAAGAAGTTGTTTCCTTGTGGTAAGGAAGTAAAAGTAAAGGAGAAGACCTCAGATCTTCCTTATATTTCTGCTTTTTTTTTTTTTAAATATCACTGTTTACTGAAATTGCTTATTAGTTGCTATGCTTTCTTCCATAGTTACCCAGATTATTTTCCTGGGCAACCAAGCATTAGGATCCATATGACTGATTGCTTTTCTATATAATGAACCATTGTTTTCGAAGCAGGGTCATTAGGCTCATTCACTGAGCATGTTAAGTGTTTTTAATAAGTGAGTTTGCCACTTAAAAGAATATATGGAGGCTGTGTTATAACATACTAGAAGATGCATGAAGTTTGGAGTAAGATTGCCCTGGTTCAAGGTTCAGATCCTGACTACCAGTTTTAGTCATGTAAACAATTCTAACAAGTCATGTAACATTTTAAGCCTCACGTGGTTTTTTTAATCAGGAAAATGAGGATGGTGTTTGCTACCTCACTGGAAGAGTCATTTCTTGTGAGTTGTGAATTTAAAGTACCCAGTAGGTCTTGTCAACCTTGTTTTGTGTGCCTTTGATTCCTTTGCTAATCTAGTGAGCCCCTTAGAGATGCCCTTCTCAGAGTAATCATTTTAAATGTACATGACAAAATGCATGGGGTTGCAGAGAAAACCAATTATATTCAAATACACTTGTTTAGGTGCTTTGTTTCATGTACTTTTTTTTAACTTATATGGGATTGAATAAATGAAAGATAGGAAGGAGGGAAGAACAAAAGGGAGAAGGAAGGACAGCTAATAAATGTATAAAGGGACTTCAAAAAGTTCGTGGAAATACAGAATTAAAAAATGGAATTTTTCCGCAAACTTTTTATTATGAATTGGTTGAAAGTTTACAGAGCAGATCATCAGTTTACCTTCAACATTCTATACCCATTTTGGAATCCTGGTGTGGCACTGTGGGCTAATGCATCAGACTGCAAAGTTGTTTGAACTGCAAGGTTGGTGGTTCAAGCTCACCAGTTGCTCCTTGGAAACCCTCTACAGGGTCGCTATGAATCGGAATCAACTCAATGGCACTTTACAAGAACAACATACCCATTTTGTTTCATCTCATTGATTGCAATCCCTGCAATGTACTTCCTTCCTGTGTTTCCAGTTTCCATTGCTCCTATCCTAACCTTTCAGAACTTTGTCCTTGGGTAAATGCTGCCATTTTGATTTCAAAGGGCTGATTATTTTGAGGTGTGCATATTTCATCAGTGGTGGTATTCCCCTTGTTGACCTGTCCATTGTTCTGCTGAAAATTGAACCATGGGGGTGGGTTCATTTCCAGACCTGAAGGGCGACACAAAGGGCCATGGTTTGTCTATCCAACCAGTGAGTCTTCATTATGATTTTTTGTTTTGTTCTACATTTTTTCCCACTCTATCTAGGACCAACTAATGTGATCCCTTTCAGAATAGTTTGTAGTTTCACAGACTTACTGAAGCACCCCCCCCCCTTGCCTAGACTTGACTCTCTCAAGCTGTCTTCCAGATTTCCAATAGGCTCCTAGACATTTCCACCTTAGCATCTTACCAGTGGAGTCCTGGTCTGGCACTGTAGGATAAGCTTGTCTTCCATGTTTCCCTTCATGCTTACACCAATCTCCTTATCACTTACGGTCTAAATTCTAAAATCACATTCTTGTCCACCTTGTCCCTACTTAAATCATCATAGAATTCTGTAGATTTTCATCTTGTATATCTAATATTTCTATCCAAATTTAAGACCTAATCTTATCGTTGCCATATTATGATATAAGCCTTTTCTGTTGTTCTTCCTGATTATGGCTAGTTTGTTACTGTTCTGTATTTAATGTTCAGTTTCATACCTATTTGTCAACTCGACTGTGTTCTAAGTTCTTTGAGGGGATCAACCACATCTTAGGTATCCCCATACCACTTAGAATAATGCATAAAAGTTCTTCATAAGATAATTTAAAAATTTTTTGTAAGTATATATGTAAATTACCACATTTGCCAATTCAGCATTTTTCAGTTACACAATTTAATTTAGTAATATTAATCATGTACAATTACCACACTTGAAGATCTTGAACTGCAAGGTTGGCGGTTCAAGCTCACCAGCTGCTCCTTGGAAACCCTATACAGGGTCGCTGTGGGTCGGAACCAACTCAGTGGCACTTAACAACAACAACAAGATCTTAGCTATAGAATGATCATAATTTGGTAGTTCTAGCTGCAAAAGGAAAAGGGACAAATTTGAACTATTTTTGTTAACTGAATTATTGCTATAGCAGTTGATAATGTCTGACCCATTGTTATGTCAAGAACCTATTGGGAATATTATATATATTTAAATTTTCACTAAGTTTCCCCAGAATTATTCACTTGTGCTTATTTTTCAAGTGTTACTTGTGATTAATAAAACCCTAGGCATGGTTTCAATCTCTGTTGTGAAGCATATGTCCCACTACAGGGCCTGATATGTAATAGGTACTTAATACATTATGTTAGATATATTTACTTATGCCTAGAAGTACAATTTGTACCTGAAAAATAACTTAAAAAAGGTTGAAATGTACATAGGTGATTACAGATATAAATATAAAATCTTTGTTAAAGGAAAGTATGATCTTAACAAGAAGAGTAGTTTTAGTAAAGTATTTGTAAAATAATAGACTACTACTCATTTCAGCTATGATACTTAGGTTGCCATTGATGATTCTCTTTTGGTTAAATCCTTTTACTTATATTCTTAGGTCAAAACATCAGAATTTTATAGATACTCTCGTCAGCTGCGCTATGAAGTTGATCAAGCATTGAATTACTTTCAGAATATTCACCAGCAGCCTTTGATGGAAACAAAATCCAGTCGCATCCGTTCTGCCAAACCCCAAACTACAGTATTCCGTGGGATGATTGGACATAGCATGGTAAACAGTAAGATACTACTCCTAAAGAAACCAAGAGTCTGGTGGGAGCTGGAAGGTCCACAAGTACCTCTACGACCAGATTGTCTTGCTATTGTCAATAATTTTGTGTTCTTGTTAGGTGGGGAAGAATTGGGGCCAGATGGTGAATTCCATGCTTCTTCCAAAGTGTTCAGGTATGACCCACGACAGAATTCTTGGCTACGTATGGCAGACATGTCTGTTCCACGTTCAGAATTTGCAGTTGGCGTTATTGGGAAATTCATCTACGCAGTAGCCGGAAGAACCAGGGATGAGACATTCTATTCAACAGAGAGATACGACATCACCAATGATAAATGGGAATTTGTAGATCCTTATCCAGTCAACAAATACGGTCATGAAGGGACAGTACTCAATAACAAATTGTTTATCACCGGTGGAATCACATCATCTTCCACTTCCAAGCAAGTATGCGTGTTTGACCCTAGTAAAGAAGGCACCGTCGAGCAGCGCACTAGAAGAACTCAAGTGGTTACCAACTGCTGGGATAACAAGAGCAAAATGAATTACGCAAGATGCTTTCACAAGATGATCTCTTACAACGGCAAGCTGTATGTCTTTGGTGGTGTGTGTGTGATCTTGAGGGCCTCTTTTGAGTCTCAGGGATGCCCTTCCACAGAAGTATACAACCCAGAGACTGACCAGTGGACCATCTTGGCATCCATGCCAATTGGTAGAAGTGGTCATGGTGTGACTGTACTGGACAAACAAATAATGGTTCTTGGTGGCCTTTGCTATAATGGTCATTACAGCGATTCTATTCTCACTTTTGATCCAGATGAAAATAAATGGAAGGAGGATGAGTACCCTCGAATGCCCTGCAAGCTAGATGGTTTACAAGTTTGCAACCTGCATTTTCCTGAATATGTATTGGACGAGGTTAGACGTTGCAACTGATGACATTTACTTTAAAAAAACAAGCAAGCAAACAAAGCATTTGTTTGTGATATATAGTTACTTTAAAAACCATAAAGATAAACCTCACCAGTTTTACTATCAAAGCCATTGGTCTAATATCGTAAGAAGTTTTCATGTTGTGCTAGCATCCTTTTTTCTTTTTAGTGGCCTCAAACTCATGCAATAAGTTAATTCTAAGCGCTAGCTCTTGAAACTCCTTCCTGAAGCAGTTTAATAGAATGATCCACTTATCAGGGAAGTTGATTTTATGCTTTAAGAAATCAGTGTAGGGAAGATTTCTAGAATCTTCTAAGAGAAAATCTGATAAGTGTCACTGGATATGATTGCAAGTTTTCTATCTTGATCTGAAATCTTTTTGGACATCTATTTCAGTCTGTTAAACTTTTTGGTTTTGTTACTTAAAAAGTTTAAAACTCTTGACCTTTTTGCATGGCTTTTTTTGCTGAAAATGCAAAAATATAAATTTTCTACAAAATTAACTTTTTATATTCAAAACACTATTTCTAAGCTGCCTTCTCTTACCCGCCTTGTGTTAGTGAAAGCATATCCATACTTGCATACATCTTACAAATATCTAAGGCACACCCCCCTCCTTTTATGTATGGTTAGGGTTCTGTATTTTTAAGCTAGTGCACTCGCACACACGGTTTGCCATACTTGTTGAATTTTAGATGTAACATCTTTCCATGCATTAATATTTTTAGAAAGTTTAAATAACTGGAGTCCTCATTTCATATCAAAGTAGCCTATCTTCAGTCCATATTGACTCAGTAATATTTGAAGCCCTTATATTCCTGAAACATGTATGGATTTATGAAAACAAACACTTTATATTTTATTTTCACAAGTAAGCATTAGTGTTCTTTATCATGTTTGTCTTTTCCTTTTAAAAACATTCTTTGCAGTCTGTTTAATGTTGCCCTGTTTTTAGAGAGAATTGGAGTGGCATATGCCAAGTTCTGACCCTGCAGTGTGCAAGCACTTTTAAAGAGAATTTAGGTAATATTAAACTCCTAAATAAAGGCTCCCTTAAACATAAGTGCAACTCCCATTCTCTATGGCAAATAAGGCTGCTGCATTTGTTGATTGAATGGATAGTAGCAGCCCTTAAAACATTTCAGCTCAGTTTTGACTTAGAAATAAAGAATAGAATTATAATTCTACTAGTCATATTGTTTATTACAATATGTCTATTTTTATTACTAGTTTATTACAACTAGTCGACTTGTTTATTACAAAATATCCAGCAGCAGTAGAAATGAAAGCTTTCAATTTTTGTTTTATTTCCTGAAAGCTACTAGCTTGAAGGATAACCCCAAATTGAGAAGGGATCAATAATTGTTTAAACACAGTTACAAGTGTTTTAGGGTTAGCTGCACCTTTCACCTCTATAAATGCAAAGGGAAAAAAATATATAGTTGACAAAATTAAGAGAAACTAGAGAGTGGATCATTCAAATTGATGCCATTTTCTCAAGTAGTCTGTCTGCTACAGACTAGACTTATACTGGCAAAACTTGCCACGTCTTTGGATATTGGTGCAATATTGCAATGCCTTCTAATGGCTGTTGTATACATTTTCTAATTTCTTTTTTCTTTTTTTCTTGCTGCTACCATCACTGAACATAAAATGGAATCGTGAAGTCAAAGAAATGTGAAGAATTTCTGTTTTTAATTCAGTTAGACATACTATGAAGTATAAAACCAGATTTTAAAACTCCAAAATTGAAGGCATTTTGAACTTAACAAATCAGGTACATAAGTTGCTTTTGGAAAAAAAAAAAATTGACATTGGTTTTAGCTAATTATATAATTAATAATGTAAATTTTCACTAAGTAATCCTATCACTTAATTTCAGTTTCTATAAATGAAACGTGATAGTTGTTGTAATAGAAAGATTTGAAAACTAGAAATTATGTTAAGTATTTAATTCTTTTCTAATAATTGGTTTTGATTACTGTTTGTGTGCTGTTTTGCTTTAAAGAAAATAGCATCTTCATGATTTTCCTCTTTGATATATTTTGCTAGAAAAGACCGAAAGAGCTGTCAGACAGGGTACCCATATCAAAGGCTTTTTTTACATTTCAGTGGTGGTTCTCTTGTATTTGCTTAAATTTAACTTCAAGCCCTAGTTAGGATAAGATCTGGGCAAATAGTTGAATATTCTTGGTGTTCCATTTTAAAGACACAAGAAGAAGGTCAAAGTTCATTTTTTGTAAACTTGTGAAATCTTAACTTGAACTAACTCTGGGTTCAGCTTCACAGTAAGTCTTGTCTGACCTGATGTTAGCAGTAATCTGTTTTGAGCTTTAAGAATAGTTGCTATTTGCTTAGGTCCTGAATGTATGGGAAAATGCTTCTGTGTATCTGTAGTTCTAATTTAGGTTATTTTAAATCCACGACTAACTTACATTCCCTTTTAAAAATTATGGTTTAATTGTTGAAAGAGATTTATTTTTGTTATACTAAACTGTGGAAAATTTTTCATAGAATTTTTTTCAAGTTTATTTTTTGTGTGTGCTTTATTTGGAAGCATTTTTGTTTATATTCATTGTATGTGCTCAAAATAGTACTTAAAAAAATCAGTAGAGATTGGAAACTATACAGTATAACTGTTGTGATCTTTATGTGTGTTGATTTTCACTTTACATTTTAAATGCCAGACTTTACAAAAATAGCTGATTTTCATTAATAGCATCTAAATTAGAAATGTTTGTTCTCTTTCCTTCTATGTCTTTGATCTTTTAAGTTTTAAATTTAATCTACTTAAAACCTTGCACTACAACCTTTTCACAAAATACGAGTCTCACATTGAAGGTTTTGTATTGAAAGAAATACTACTGGTTTTTCAAAAGCAGAGCTAAATTACTAGAAATGTTAGTTTTTCTTGAGACAGCTTTCTCTGTGTCCTTGTTACTTCGCTTTATGTGAGTGTTAATGATAATAATTTGTGAAATATAGACTGAGCCCTTCACTAACCCTTTCTAAAGCAGCACCTTTGGACACCTCATTCTGGGAAGCCTGCTCGACACACAGTAGTGTGGGGAGAAGTAGTAAAAACGGAGAGCCCTGTCTTAATTACATAAACCTAAGCTTTAAAATATTTTTTAACAAATTATTTGAGCTGCATAATCTAAACATGTTAAACGTTCAGTGGGACTATTTTTGTATATGTATATGTGGTGTTAGGTCAGAACATTTCAGTTGATAATATAAATTGTTATTTCAGTTTATAAGCTATCAGAAAAGACTAGCTCTTTTGAGAATACATAATTTAAAGTTTTAGGCTGAAGTAAAACACAACATAGATAATAGTGTAAATTAGATATAATTGAGGGCTATGTGGCAATAAAACTGCTTCATGCCAGTTTTCTTGCTTGCCTATTAATTACAGTTTTAATTTTTTTGTACTCAACATTTTTAGGGATCATAAATTTGTTCAATTGGATTAGAATTGGTTTGGGAATAAATATCTTTTAAAAAGAGATTTATCTTAAAAATGGAAGTCCTTAAAGATTAGTTTATTGAGAGTTTATAAAGTCAGATATTCCATAGGCATAGATCCTTTCAGTATACCAGTATAACTTCAATATTACCCGAGTAACATTGAGCGAATGACTTCAATATTACCCAAGTAACATTGAGCGAATGCCATCATCAGGGTTGTTCCCCCTTAATATTCTTGGATTTTCCTTTTGCATCTTTGGGAACAAATTACGTTAAATACTTTATTAATCAGTATACCAGTAAGGGTTAGGTGTTTGCTTTTTGAAGGAATGTTCCAATGAAGTGATTGGAGAAGTTATTTTCTACCTAACTTATACATGCTCTCTTGGGCATACTTTGTCTATAGAAAAATATTTTGACCTTTTAGGTACATTTTGGGCCAGTAGTCAAATAATCCTAGGGCCGATATAAAAATCTTAGAATAATTTAAGGTTTGCCTTTTATACCTGTTTTGAAAGCCTTTACATTTTTGTCAGGTAATTTTTCCCAAGCCGTGGATATAATCTATTCAAACATGTTTATGCTATCCATTCTGTTTTTAAATTTAAAAAAAATGTTGAAAGTGTTTATGAAGAAAAGTTTAAATAAAATATTTTTAATCTTTAAAATATTCTTCTTTATCTCTTATTGACTGACTTGATATCTGATCCATTACTTTGAAAGTCTCTAATGACTCAATTAGCAGTGTACATTTTACATTCTTTCAGCAGGCCAGGAGGTGCCATGAAAATGTGATTGCTGTCACCGCTTTCAGCCACAGATTCACATGAGAGCACCAGAGTGAAATTATTTAAACTCTTACATGCAACAAAATTGTTATAATGATGTCAAGTAATTGAAATTCCACTCATACAGAGTTTTGCAGTATTGAAATACCGAACTGAAAGTAGGCATATACAAACCCAAAATTTTAAGTTTTGTGAGTTTTAGATTTCCTTTAGCATTTTTGGCTGATTGTTCTGAAAGGAATGCCTAAAATTAAGATATAGGCAGAAATGAATCTGCTGTATTGTGAGGCCTTGGATTTACATAGGCATATACCTTCTTTAAAATGGACTCCTAAGAAACCTCAGAGCGATTCCCAACTCCTAGATCCTGGCCTAAAACCATCTTTCCGGGCCTCATCTCTCACCAGTGATTCACACACACTGTTCCAAAAGCCACATCAAATTACTTGCCTTTCCTTCCTCTTCCTTGCTTGTCAAAATCCACTAATTTTGTAAAGCCCAACTCCTCCCCTCTTTGAAACCTGTGCTATCTCCCTCGCTGAATTAATTGCCTCTTGCACACTCATTTTTAGCTCTTTATTTCATTTCCTTTGCATAATAGGTGTGTATATATACCTCTTTCCCAACAACTAGGTTATAGACTTCTAGATAAAAGGGCCTTTTATATTTTTTGTACTCGTCTGGCATGATGTATTGCATGCATTGAGTTAAATGTTTATTGCAGCATAGAATAAGTTTCATATA